ACCATACTAAATGTACCTAATTTTTTTTACCTAATGCTTTACATACACTCACAATAGGGGTGTGGGGACAATATGTTGAGATTATTTTATTCACGCTGGGTTCACGTACTGTGAGAGTAGGTAAACCAAATTATGTACACTTAGAATTATCCATGCATTTAAGGCTCAACAAAGTGTATTGTATATATTTGTGGCTTTTCTCCATTATTACAATACATATACACATTCAATACACTTTGAGCCCTTTTTTGGTGAGAACTTTTTGGTTGCTTCTTCTCTTCGTGAATTTGTTGTCTCCTTTATGCGTTCTCTCTGTGAGAACTCTGTGCCTCACCTTTGCGAACACCTTGGCCGGCGACTTATTCTCTTGCTTCGATCTTTACCTGCTTCATTGTCTCATTTTTTGCCTCCTTGCACGATCGTCTCTACACAATTCCTTGGGTGATTTCCTTTGTGATTTTGAGTGTGCTAATTCGTTCTATCTTGTAGAGCTCTTCGTATGTTATTGGGTTATTGATCTGAGTCTTATTCAATCCATTTTTGGTATCAATATTTGTGATAATTGAAAGGGAAGTGTTTATTTTATATTCACAATATTAATTTCATTATTGTTATTGATTTTGAACTTACTTTGTGTTGATTTGATTATTGAAGGCTGTAATTTTACTTCACACTAACCTTCTGCGAAAAACTTAATTCCATCGACAATGTTGCTTGGTTCATCGGAGTTAGTGATGGGCGTGGAAGGTTTTTTTTGAGGTTTTCTTGAAAACTCGCTGGTAGGGAGTAGGTTTTGGTTGGAAGATGAATAGTTGGTCTTTTCGTGTGTTCAGTACAAGTACTAATGGCTCGTTTTGAAGTGAGTAGATAGTTCTGCTCTTACTGCAATCGTGAACATTGAAGCAACGAGCCCTTTAATAGTTGAATTGGACGGAATTTGCCTGGAAGGATTGATTGCGTAGGTAAGTAAGAGGTATAGGAACTCAGAACCAAAAATGAAACGTTATGGACCATTTCCACATGATGGACAACGTTAGGGACTAAATGCGCTGATTACCCATGATAAATTGTACATGTAGTCCTCAAATTTGGGAGAATAGCAATCTTGATTTTTCAATAGGCATTTGTCACTAATCATTGAGAACTAGCAAAGTCAACCCCTTTTTGCCAACCTTTTTCTCC